ATCGGATAATTATGAGTTGGATCTGTTATTGAATCTATTCATAATAGGTCAAGTTATGAAAAATCAGAAAAATCGGCAAGATCAGACATAGTCTTATAAGTTCTGCTAAGAATGGTTCGGTTCTCTTCCTAAAATCGGATAGTCCCTTTGCATGTCATTGTAAAATTAATTTTTATCATAATTTTGAAAATTTTGTGTGGAAGGTACCAGAAGGAGTGGACTAATGGGTCCCATCGAAACAAACCTGATCTAGGCTTGGTAAAGGTAATAGATTGTGCAAAATTTGGTTAAAATCGGGCATTCCATTAGCCTGATATTGGATTTAAAAATATTGAGAATTTTGACAATTTGTGGGGGAGGTACCAGAAAGAGTGTACGAATGGGTCCCATCTTCAAACGTCATCCAGGCTTGGTAAATATAATAGGTTACACAAAGTTTCGTTAAAATCGGATAATCCGTTTGCATGTTATTATAAAATTAATTTTTAGCACAATTTCGACCATTTTGTAGGGGAGGTACCAGAACGAGTGGACCGATATTCCCCATGTTCGAACTTAAGCTATGTTTTGAAGAAATAATAAGATGCGCAAATTTTGGATTAAATCGATTATTCCCCTCGAGAGTTATCGTGCGCACCAGCCAGACAGGGCAACGGACGGACATCGACTCCAATTTTTCTGAAACGGAGTTATCTTCCTAGCCCTCAAAATTTTATTTAAAAACTCTACGCCTGAAGTTATCTTCATAACGCTCAAAGATTTATTTAAAAACTCCACGCCTGAAGTTCTCTTCCTAGCCGTCAGAAATTCAATTTAAAAATCCACGCCTGGAGTTCTCTTCATACCCTCAAAAATTAATTTCTATCTAATTAATTTCTTCCTAACTCTCAAAATTTTATTAAAAAACCAGTAAGGAAAGTAGTAAAGTCGGACGGGGCCGACTATATGATACCCTTCACCACTGTGGATATATTCAACAGATGAATCCTTACAGACGTCCAATTTTTGAAGGACCATTAACATGAAAATGGATCCAAAAACATCTCATTCTGCAACCTATACTAAATTTTTCATTTGGTCAGATACAGGGTTGCTTCAAGCTAGGTTATATTAACTTCAGTACGTTGTGCCAAATTTTTTGTCAATCGGCCTACCTTGGGGTCTTTGGTGAACCATTTATCTATCGGACGAAAATATATATGGGAGCTATATCTAAATCTTGACCGATTTTCAGGTAATTTAACCCACATCATTCTAAACCTAATTCAGTACGTTGTGCCAAATTTCGTGCAAATTGAAAGATATATAGGGACTTTGGTACACCATTTACATAAAATCAGACGAAAATATATATGGGAGCTATATCTAAATCTGGACCGATTTTCAGGAAACTTAAACCACATCATCATCATCTAGACCCAATTCAGTACGCTGTGCCAAATTTAGTGCAAATCGAAAGATATATAGGGACTTTGGTACACCATTTACATAAAATCGGACGAAAATATATATGGGAGCTATATCTAAATCTGGACCGATTTTCAGGAAACTTAAACCACATCATTCTAGACCCAATTCAGTACGCTATGCCAAATTTCGTGTAAATCGAAGGATGCATAGGGACTTTGGCACACCATTTACCTTAAATCGGACGAAAATATATGGGAGCTATATCTCAATCTGAACCGATTTTTCCCAATTTCAATAGGGTTCGTCCTTGGGCCAAGCCAATGAGCTGTGCCAAATTTCATCCAATTAGGATCATAAATGCGACCTGTACTTTTTTTACAATTTAAAATGGACGGACGGACGGACATGCATAAATCGACTCAGAAAGTGATTCTATGCATATTCTCAAAAGGAACCATGGGTCTATCACGATTATTTTTGCCTGTTACAAACATATGCACATAATACCCTGTACCACAGGGTATTATGTGATCAAAAATTATTTAAAAATCCACAGCTGTATTTCTGTTCCCAGCCCTCAAAAATTCACTAAAAAAAAGTCGGGTGTATTTCCGTTCCTAGCCCTGAAAAATTTATTTTAAAATATTCACGCCTGGATTTCTGTTCCTAGTCCTCAAAAATTCATTTTAAAAAATCCACGCCTAGAGTTCTCAAAAATTCATTAAAAATCCACACCTGGAATTCTGTTCCATTCCATTTAAAAATCCATGCCTGGAGTTATCTTCCGAGCTCTAAAAAATTAATTTAAAAATCAACACCTATAGTTATCTTCCTAACCCTCAAAAATTCATTTAAAAAATCCACGCCTGGAGTTATCTTCCGAGCTCTGAAAAATTCATTTAAAAAATCCACGCCTCGAGTTATCTTCCGAGCTGTGAAAAATTCTTTGAAAAAAATCCACACCTGGAGTTATTTTCCGAGCTCTGAAAAATTCATTTTAAAAATCCACGCCTGGAGTTATTTTCCGAGCTCTGAAAAATTGATTTAAAAATCCACGCCTGGAGTTATTTTCCGAGCTCTGAAAAATTGATTTAAAAATCCACGCCTGGAGTTATTATCCGAGCTCTGAAAAATTCATTTAAAAAATCCACGCCTGTAGTTCTGTTCCTAGCCCTCAAAAACTCATTAAAACATCCACGTCTGGAGTTCTGTTCCTAACCCTCAAAAATTCATTTAAAAATCCACGCCTGGAATTTTGTTCCTAACCTTAAAAAAATCATTTAAAAAATCCACGCCTGGAGTTCCCTTCCAGGCCCTCAAAATTTTATTTTAAAAATCCACGGCAGGAGATCTCTTCCTGTTCATAGCCTTCAAAAATTCATATAAAAAATTCACGCCTGGAAAATTAATTTAAACCAGTAAGGAAAGTAGTAAAGTCGGACGGGGCCGACTATATGATACCCTTCACCACTTTGGGTACATTCAACAGATGAATTCTAACAGACGCATTTTTAAATCACCAGTAAAATGAAATTGGATCCATAAACATGTCATTCTGCAACCGATACAAAATTTTTCATTTGGTCAGATATAGCAGCTATATCTAAATCTGAACCGATTTTCTGGAAACTTAACACACATCATTCTAGAACTAATTCATTACGCTGTGCCAAATTTTGTGCAAATCGAAAGATATATAGGGACTTTGGTGCACCATTTACATTTAATAGGACGAAAATATATATGGGAGCTATATCTAAATCTGAACCGATTTTCAGGAAACTTAACACACATCATAATATACCTAATTCATTATGCTGTGCCAAATTTCGTGTATAACGAAAGATATATAGAGACTTTGGTGTCCCATTTACCTTAAATCGGACGAAAATATATATGGGAGCTATATCTAAATCTGGACCGATTTTATCGAAACTTAGCACATATCATTCTAAACCTAATTCAGTACGCTGTCCCAAATTTCACGCAAATCGAAAGGAATATAGGATATTTGGTGCACCATTTGCATAGAATCGGACAAACCTATATATGGGAGCTATATGTAAATCTGAACCGATTTTCACGAAACTTAGCACACATCATTCTGGACCTTATTCAGTACTCTGTGCCAAATTTCATGCAAATCGAATGATATATAGGGACTTTGGTGCACCATTTACCTTAAATCGGACGAAACTATATATGGGAGCTTAGCACACATCGTTATGCACCTAATTCAGTACTCTATGCCAATTTTCATGCAAATCGTATGATATATAAGGACTTTAGTGCACCATTTACCTTAAATCGGACGAAACTATATATGGGAGCTTTATCTAAATCTGAACTTGGCACACATCATTGTGGATCTAATTCAGTACTCTGTGCCGAATTTCGTGCAAATCGAAAGATATATAGGGACTTTGGTGCACCATTTACTTTAAATCGGACGAAACTATATATGGGAGCTGTATCTAAATCTGAACCGATTTTCTCGATTCTTGGCAAACATCAGTCTAAACTCAATTCAGCACGTTGTGCCAAATTTCGTGCAAATTTGGGGACTTTGGTGCACCATTTACATGAAATCGGACGAAACTATATATGGGAGCTATATCTAAATCTGGACCGGTCTTCACGAAACTTGGCAGACATAATTCTATGCTCAATTCAGTGCGTTATGCCAAATTTGATGCAAATTGAAAGATATATAGGGACTTTGGTGCACCATTTACATGAAATCGGACGAAACTATATATGGGAGCTATATCTAAATCTGGACCGATTTTCACGAAACTTGGCAGACATCATTCTAGACCTAAATGATTAGGCTGTACCAAAATTCGTGCAAATCGAAAGATATTTAGGGACCGTTTACATCGGTTAAATATATATATATATATATATATATTTGAGCTATATCTAAATCTGAACCGATTTTTCTCAATTTCAATAGGGTACGTCTTTGGGCCAAATAAGTTACCTATGCCAAATTTCATCCAATTCGGATAATAAATGCGACTTGTACTTTGTTTACAATTTAACATGGACAGACGGACGGACGGATAGACGGACATGCGTAAATTGACTCAGAAAGTGATTCTTTACATATTCTCAAAAGGAACCATGGGTCTATCTCGATTATTTTTGCCTGTTACAAACATATGCACAAAGACATAATACCCTGTACCACAGTGTGGTGAAGGGTATAAAAATCCACGCCTGAAGTTCTCTTCGCTGGAGATATCTTCCTAGCCACGCTTGGAACTTTTTTCCTAACCCTCAAAAATGCATTTAAAAAAATCCACGCCTGGAGTTCTCTTCCGAGCTCTGAAAAATTCATTTAAAAAATCAACGCATGGAGTTCTCTTCTTAGCCTCAAAAATTCATTTTAAAAGTAGTTACCAAAAAACCGTTAGCCTTGTAACAGATGGATCCAAAATCTTATTTAAACATAATATAAAATTATAATGTTTTCAAAAAACAACAACAAAGTCGTTTATAACAATTATATTCCTTTACAATTTTAAACCATTTTAACATTAATTCTTTAACATTTCATGTTTTGCTTTTTATTTTTCCTCCCTTAGATTTGTCCTTAAAACCCTAATGACAATATGTCCTGGTACGGTGTTACTAGTGTTCATGGTCTCCCTATGGATCATCGCATCATGGACGTTGCGGCAATGTGAACGGTAAGTTGTTTCAAGTTGTTCTATTTCCTGTTATTTTATTTGTTTGTCATTTCGAATTCTCAATACTCCCGATATTTGTAATTTTGAACATCCCACCCCCCCCCCCTCTTGGAAATTTTTGTGACCCAATGCCCCCCCCCCCTCTTTTTGGACTTTCCCTCTGTTGTTAATATTGTTCAATTGTTTACTTTTAGTTTATTTTCTTTTAATGTTTTTTTTTTCATTTTTTTGGTAATGATAAACAAATTATTAGGTTTTTGTTTAAACAACAAAAAAGTCCTCCCCTTGTCCCTCCAATGTAAACAAAAACCAAAATCAAAAAAAAAAATCTATAAAAACAAAAGAAAAGCGAGAAAGCAAAGTTAAAATGAAATGTTTCCCCGAACAAAAAAAGAGTGTGAGAGAATTTAATAGAAAAAAATGAATAATTTTTTTTTAATTCTTTTTACAAACTACAAACACCATTTGCCTTTATGAATATGTATCTAACAAAGCACGTGTTATATTTTCTTTCCATATCTTTAGATCAAATTTTTTTCTCTTTACTTTTGTTTGTTACTCTTCCTTTTCTCTTATTCCTGCCTCAGTGTTTCTCTTTGTAAATTTTTGTATTATTATTTATATTTCTTTCCAATTAAATGTTATTGTATTTAATTATTATTCTTAATGCCAATGTCAGTTTATAAACCATAAATATTGAAAATGTTTGATTTTATTAACAATTTTTTTTTTTTGTTTTTTGATTTGTTTATTATTGTTTATATTTGTTATTGAAAATTTTACGTTTAGTTGTATATTGTTTTTTTATGTTATTATTTTTATTATTTATAACAATTGACTCAAATTGCTCTTTAGTTAATAATCATAAATAAATTTCAATTTTGTTCAATAAACAATTTGAACTCGATTATTATTGTCAGCAGAAACGCAAAAAATAAAATTCGAATAAATAACTTGATAAATAAACACTTCCTCCACACAACTACCGCTTTATTTAAATATCTAGTATACGGCATAAAACTAAATGAATTAATTTTTATAGACCAATAATGTTGTTATGCAAATAAATATTGTTGTCGAATTTAATTATCGTTAACATTTACCGTTATTTATGTTTACGTATATAAATGTGCATTTTAATAGCTAATAGGAAAATCAAAAAGAAAAGGATTTTGTGTGTCATCATGCAAATCGAGGATGTTATTTTTTTAGTTTATCAAACGTAATGATTTCAAATATAGAAATCACACACATAAAACAAATTTGAAAATCTACGACTACAACAGTTATATTTGTAGCCCCGAAAAATTAATTTAAAAATCTGCGCCTATTTCTAGCTCTCAAAAACTTCATTTAAAAATCTGCGCCTTGAATTCTATTCTTATCTCTATAAAATTCATTTAAAAAAATCCACGCTTAGCTTTCTATTCCCAGCTCTAAAAAATGTATTTTTATAAAATCCACGCCTGGAGTTATCTTCCGAGCTCTGAAAAATCCACGACAAGAGTCGTAGCTCTCAAAAATTAATTTCAAAATCCACGCCTAGAATTCTATTCCTAGCTCTCAAAAATCCATTAAAAAATCCACATCTAGAGTTATACTCCTAGCGCTCAAAAATTCATTAAAAATTCACGCCAGGAGTTCTATTCCTAGCTCTCAAAAATTCATTTAAACCATCTACGACTAAAATCCTATTTATAGCTGTAAAAAATTCACCACACTGTGGTACAGGGTATTATGTCTTTGTGCATATGTTTGTAACAGGCCAAAGGAATCGAAATAGACCCATGGTTCCTTTTGAGAATATGCATAGAATCAGTTTCTGAGTCGATTTATGCATGTCCGTCTGTCCGTCCGTCCATCCGTCCATGCATTTTTGTTAACAAAGTACAGGTCGCATTTGTGATCCGATTTGGATGAAATTTAGCACAGGTCACTTAATTGACCCAAGGACGAACCCTATTGAAATTGGAGAAAATCGGTTCAGATTTAGATATAGCTCCTATATATATTTTCGTCCGATTTTATGTGCACCAAAGTCCCTGGAAATCATTCGATTTGCACCAAATTTGGTATAGCGTACTGAATTGAGTCTAGAATGACGTGTTTTAAGGTTCTTGAAAATCGGTTCAGATGCAGATATAGCCCCTATATAAATTTTCGTCCGATTTAATGTAAATGGTGCACCAAAGTCCCTGAAGATCATTCGATTTGCACGAAATTTGGTATGGCGTACTGAATTGAGTCTATAATGATGTGTGTTAAGTTTCGTGAAAATCGGTTCAGATTTACATATAGCTCCATATACATTTTCGTCCGATTTTATGTAAATGGTGCACCAAAGTCCCTATATATCCTTCGATTTGCACGAAATTTGGCATTGTGTACTGAATTGACTATAAAATGATGTGTTTTAAATTTCATGAAAATCTGTTCAGATTTAGATATAGCTCCCATATATATTTTCGTCCGATTTTAGGTATATAGTGCACCAAAGTCCCTATATATCCTTTGAGTTGCACGAAATTTGGTATGGCGCACTGAATTGAGTCTACAATGATGAGTGCTAAGTTGCGGGAAAATCGGTTCAGATTTCGATGTAGCTCCCATATATACATGTATATATTCGTCCGATTTTACGTAAGTGGTGCACCAAACTCCTTGCACAACGTATCGAATTGAGACTTAAATGACGTTATTGCATTTTATTGAAATTGGCGCAGATGCAGCCATAGTTTCCATATGTATTTCTGATTGAAATTAAATTTTTAACACCGAATAGCGTGTATCAATTTTGCTATAAATCGTTTTCTATAAATGTGTCCCATGGTCTAAATCTACCCGAATGAAATTAAATTTATCATAAGTTGCAGATAGGCATGGGTAATGTTCGAGGGAACATTGACATGCAATTGTACGGATGCATATGTAGAATATACCCAAAGTGGTGAAGGGTATCATATAGTCGGCCCAGTCCGACTTTACTACTTTCCTTACTGATTTAAAAAATTCAATTTTAGAGTTCTGTCTTTAGCCCTCCAGCCGCCTTTAAACCAGTGTCAGAGCAGCATACCTTCTAACCCAATTATAGATGCTCATAACAAAAACTAGCCTAGGGCCTTCAGGAAGAAAATCTATACATATTCACCAGGTATCTGGAATACCCAATAACAGCCACCTACATTTTTATACGAGGCTTTCTCAAAGCGTGGGCTTATTTATTTTCTGTCAATAAGTTTTCACCATTTAGGTGGCCGAAATGCCATATGACAGCCCCTTTGTTGAGAAAACGTGTTTTAATTCTCCAAAAACCGAATATTGTACGGGCCTTTTTATGGGGGCTATGACAAAGCAGTAACCTATGTTGAAAATGTACTGCTGAGCTGTTTATACCACTCCAGAACCTCAGATTACCAAATGTAAAACCTGTCGTGGACTTCTTAACAAAATTGTATATATGTGTTCTTGTAGAAACCAAGAGGTTTTTATATGGAATATACATAAACTTTATAATAGAACCCAATAGTTCTTCTTGCAGAGAGTTTCATTTGGTATAGAAGATCACGAAACATTCTATAGAAGACCAAAAAGTATTTTTGTAAACTAAATGAGAGGTATTATTTTAAAATGTCAGAAAACTTGATAGCAAAGTTCTTCACAGGCAAAGAGGTCTTATTTTTGAAAACCAAGAGGTCTTTTTATTGAGGTCTTCTTTTTGAGGACCAAAAGTCCTGATAATAGAAGACCAATGAAAGCCAAACCTTCTTCTTATAAAGATAAAGGCGCCTTCTTATAGAAGACCAAGTGGTTTTCCTTAAAAGATCAAGAGGTCATATTTGGAAGTCGAAGAGTACTTCTATAGGGAACCAACATAACTTTTTATAGCAGACCAAGAGGTCACTTTTTTGAAGGCCAAGAAATCTTCCGATAGAAGACCAAGTAGTCCTCCTGTAATAGACCAAGAGGTCTCCATGTAGAATACCAAGAGATCTTTTTTCGAAGACCAAGATCTTTTGTAGAAGACCAAGAAGTAAAATGCGTTCTTATTGACAAAATATAATGCATCATCCTCTTAGATAATTAAAGATCATTAAATCCATACAAAAAATAAAAGATTTTCCTATTTCTTCCTTATATAATTAATTACACATCAAAATTAATCAAAGTCTTCATGCAGCTCATAATTCAAATAACACATTTCTATCATCCTATTATCCACTGTTCAAAATAATCCCTTTATTGGCCATCAGGCTAATAACATATTTTCAAACAGCTGACAGCTTCCCGATTAATTTGTTTCTCTGCCAGTTAGTGTACGTTCCACCCTCAATGTTGATGATTTCCAGCAAACGGTTGACAGCTGATGTCAGTTTATGTTAACATGAGTGAAAGAAGATAATTTATAAGTGTTAGAATATATACATATATATTAATATATATATATATAATGTATATTTTTCCAATTACTTACATCTATAGATGTGTATATTCAATGTCGTTGTTGTTGCTGCTATCGCAAGTATCATTTTTTTTCAAAAGTAATCATTTTGGACAATTCTCTCATACATTTATTATAGTTATCATACAATATTTTTGACAATTTTATTATACATTTCTATGATATACTTAACATATATATTGTATAACAACATATACATATGTCTGTACATCTGTACAATCCCTAGGGATTTTGTTGTGTTGTGATTGATGGCTGGAGATGATGACAGTTACCAAAATAGAAATACAGAATAAGAGGGCATTTGTGTGTGTGTCAAAAGTTTGTTAGTCAATATTGCTTAGATTTTCCCCCTAATTCCCTTTAATTAGAAGATTTCTGAAAGGGGGAGTATTCGGTATGTCTCATAGTGTGGCAAAATGAAGTGTGAAAAAAGGGTCTTATATGAGAATATTTTTTATCTACTATAAGACGTCCTTTTCGTCTACTATAGAGATGGATTTCTAGCATATATACCATAAAAATTACGTTAGTCTGCCCAATA